CCCCCTCCCCCCCGCCCCCCCCCCCCTCGCTCTGCTCTGCCCCCTAGAAAAAGCGCCCCGGTCTCCCGACCGATGTGACGGTGACAGCGGCATCGTCAGAGCCCTCTTGGTACGTGGCCATGAGTGCCGCTGGCGGGACGCTCACCTCTCGGTCGGGAAACAGCTTAAAGGTAAACATTCTGTCCTGTTCAACACACACGCACAGCAGTCACCATCACCTGTTGGTCTGTATGTCTCTCTGTGTGGCTGCACGTGTCTCACTCACCAGCCTGCCTCGTCTCCTCCCTCCGCCAATGATGGCCAGGCCGTTGCCAGGCGCCCGTTGCCGCACGGTCGCAAACTGCTCCGACGCAGCCCCCGGTTGACACGACTGCCCGTCGCCCGTCCAGCCATACAGACAGCGGCAGACAAAGCTTCGCACCGAAACCAGGGATTGCTGCTGCCACCCTGTGACCTTGGACAGCTCCGCCGCTATCGGGCGCCGTGCTGGGGCGGTGTTGACGGGGTAGGCACGGTTGTGGTCGACCTCAAGAAGGCATCGCGCGTTGGGGTCGCAGATCTGCGATCCGCATGGCTGGCCGGCAGCAGCAGCAGCTGGGGCGCTGAAGGGAGGCGGGGACCGGATCCCCAAAAGACCTGAGTGGGGACTGGGGGGGAGCTGGTGCACCACATTGGGAGGGGTCTGAGGGGTCTGAGGGGCATTGCTGCCGCCGCCTTGTTGTTGTGACTGTGACGACGTCGCGTTGATTTTGGCGTCGTTGACAATCTTGGTTCTCTTCTCGTCGGCTGGCGAGGGGTCCTCGACGGCCTGCTTGTCACCCCCTCCCACCATCATTTCGGCGTCATCGTCCTCGGCTCCATCATCGCTCGTCTCATCCGCGTCTTGGGCGGTGTCGACGGCACCAATCAGCGATTGAGACGCCTTCTTGTTGACGACTTGGTCGGCGCTGTCCCTCAAGTCGTCAACCGATATCTTGTGCTCCCCATCCCCGGCGCCGCCGAGAGAAATGATGGATGAAGACGGCTTGCCGTCGTCAGCAGCAGATGGCTCCAAAAAGGAGTCTGATTTCTCCTTGGTTCCCTCATCTGTGCCCTGGCTCTGTGTGCTGTCTGTGTCGTCATCGATCTGCTCTTCGGTGGCGAGCAGAGCGCTGAGGAGGTCGACTGGCGGGGATGAGTCGGAGATGCGGCTGATGATGCCGTTGATCTCGTTCTTCTTTTTCTCGGCAGCCTTGGTATCCGTGTGCGGGCCCGCGGCCTTTGCCTGCGACCCGTGGCTGTCAATGCCTCCCTGCAGAATCGCCAAGGCCTCCGCAAGCGCATCCATGTCCACATCGAGGGCATCTCCCAGCGAAGGACCGCCGTCGTCGGCTATCTCATCCTTCTTCTCCTGCTTGTCGTCTCGCTTCTTGCTGCTGGCGTCTTTGTCCTCCTGCTTGTCGTCTCGCTTCTTGCTGCTGGCGTCTTTGTCGTCATTGTCGTCTCGCTTCTTGCTGCTGGCGTCTTTGTCCGTGCCGGAGTCGTCCGCGCAGTTTGGGCCTTTAATGACAAAGGGGATCATGGCCGTCATCGGCTGTTCCTTCTCGCCGCTGTCAGACGTGTTGGCCACACCGGACACAGTGAGGAGGGAGTTGACGTTCGACACAGACACGGGACCTGACAACCAAAGATGCACAGACAGACAGACAGACAGACAGCAAACAAGTGTGAATGTGTGGTCTGCATGATCGACATGAATCCCTCAATCCATCTCTCTGACTGACCTTCGACGGTGATTGCGAAGACGGCCTCCTTCAAGCTCTCGCCGTCATTGTCAGGCACGAGCAGCTCGATGCCCCCCACGTCCTCGGTCTCGCTGTCGACTTCCCAGTCCAGCCCCCCGTCCAGCCCCTTGACAGGCGGGGTGGACTCAAAATGCACACTCTTGATGTGCTCGCTTGAGCACCCGCACACGCCCAGCGTCACGCTGTTGAAGGGCAGGCCTTCCGCCGACCTGAAGCGGTACCTGAAGGTGGAGGTGTCCTTCTTCATGTCGTAGGCCACATCCACATCGGGATAGTCCCCCAGCAGCGGATCAAACACGCCCATCACGTACTCGCTGTCCTCCTTCTCCGTCAGAAGGGAGAACGGCGCGTTGCAGGCACACTTGTTCCGGGCGTAAGGGCCAAACCCGCAGAACCTGCAGCATTCCTCCCCCCTGGCCTGGCAGCCGAGCCCGTCGGTCTTGCCGAACTTGCAGCTGGGGTCGTACATGATCGGCTCTTCCGTCGTCGACTTGAGTAGGCAGCTCTCGGGACTGCATAAGGACTGCAGCTGCGCATGGGCGGCCGGGAGGAAAAACGGGACAGTCAGCAGAAAAACCACGATGGGATCAACAACCATCGGCATAATCGGGACGCGGGGGGTTTCAGTCGGCCTGACAAGACTTGGACCAAAGCACAGGACGCGTCAGCTTCGAATTACATTTACAACTGTACACCACCCTAAGCCACTGGCCGTTGGTACCGTGTTCACCGCTTCCCAAACGCGCTGTTCCCCGTGTGTTCTCGACTCCTTCCTCCCTCATTTTCCCCCCTCCCCGCGTCCCTCGACCCCACGACGCGAGAAGTTTGCACAGCGATGCTGGAGTGGGTGCTACCCGCAGCGATGGGCATCGAGAGCCTGCAGCTGATCCTCGGCTCTCTCGTCTGCCTGCCCGTCCTCTGCGTCATCCTGCTGGCCTGACGGACGGACTCCCCGCCGACCACAACGACCCGCCGGCTGTATAACTATTGTGGAACTCTGACTGACCTCTTTTCTCCTGTCTGTCTATCTGTCTGTCCGTGCCGTCCCGCTGAGGGCGGCTAATTAAGGCACCAGGGCCTGTTTCAGCGGCCTGCCTGGGTCTTCCTTCCTCCTCTACTGTCCCCCTTGTCTAACCCCTCTCTCCACCCCTCTTCTCTCCCTTCAGCGCGCCAGCCATCTCTTTACGTATCGGATGCTGCGTATTCCACCCCCAATTAGCAAGGCCGCCAGTACTGTCGCTCCCACAACTGCCGAGCCGACAGACGGCGCCGTCACCAGACCAACGACGCCATCGCACAGCGATCTATATCCACCATCGTCAACAGCACCATCACAGCGTGTGAGTCTGTCCCTCTCCCCTCAAAGCAGCCCCCTCCGTCCAAGCCAGCCGCGACGAGGCGATCGGAGGGAGGGCGGGGGAGGGATGGTCAACAGGACTTCCACATCCATAGTCAACGACAGACAGGGCAGGAGGGCGCTGCTGGGCCTCGTGTGCCTGGCCGCCCTCGCCCTTCTCACCCATATCCACGGAGCCGACGCGAAAATATCTAACACAGGTTGGTACTCGTTGGGGAATACGTGTGGGCGCTTGTATGCATCTCGTGGTGTGTGTTTCTGTTCCACTGTCTTTCTTCAGCAGCCCACAACGGTCGTCTGATCCTTCGGTTCACAGAGCGGTCCGAAGGCCACCACTCCCGTCTGCAGCGGCACCTGACCGCCCAGGGCGTCCCCCTCCGAACCCCCGCGCACATCCAGCACAGGCGGCGGCACCTCTCCGCGGACACTGACGACCCCTCGGCCCTCGAGTACCTGCCCAACGTCGACCTGGAGATCCTCCACATCGACCCCACCGCTGAGAAGGCCGACGTCTGCGCCATGGTGCAGCAGCAGTACGGTCAGGTGCTCGACCTGTGCGAGGCCGACCACCGCATCTTCGGCAGCCCCGACCAGCGGTCGGAGCCATTCCAGCTCTTCGCGGTGGATGACGACGACGTGACCACGCCACCGCCCGCCAGTGAGGATGCAGACGAGGACGGCGTGCACGCCACTCACGGCGACGAGGGGCTCCCCAACGACCCCGGCTTCACCGAGCAGTGGGCGCTGTTCAACTCCTTGTATGACGGCTTCGACATCCACGCCCAGGAGGCGTGGAAGCTGATACAGTCACGGATCGTCAGCGGCCAGGCCACACTTACTGAGTCAGCCGGCGGGGGCACCCTGAGCGCCAGCTCGCTCGACGAGCCGTCGGACGCGGTGAATGAGGACGGCGGCGAGAGCTTCAGGCCGATCATTGCCGTGATTGACAGTGGGTCCGACTACACCCACCAGGACCTCGACGGCGCCCTGTGGATCAACCAAGCCGAGTTCCACGGCCAGGAGGGGCACGATGACGACGGTGAGTGGAGGAGATTGATGCCATCAATCTCAATCCACACACGGACCACATGCGTGGGTGTGTGTGTCTCAGGGAACGGGTTTGTGGACGACATCTACGGCTATGATTTCCGCAACGACGACGGCGACCCGATGGATGACGACGGGCACGGGACACACGTGACGGGCATCATCGCCGCGGGGGGCAACAACGGCAAGGGCATTGCGGGCGTCGCATGGGCCGCCAGACCGCAGATCATGGCACTCAAGTTCATGGGCAGGGACGCTGCTGACCCCACCACCACTACGGTCAGGGAGGGCAGACACCGGTGTGGGCACTGCGTATGGCAAATGGATGGACTGTGTTGTTGGTTGTTTCAGGGTTGGACATCTGATGCCATCCGTGCGCTGGACTATGCCATCCAGATGGGGGCTCACGTGACCTGCAACTCCTGGGGAGGCGGCCCTTACGACTGGGTAATAAACAACCAAGACACGAGAACAGACTCCATTCCCCAGAACGTTGCTCTCGCCTTGTTCCCCCGTCTCTCCCACCCAGGGTCTCGAGCGTGCCATTCAGAAATCGGCCGACAACCAGCAGCTGTTCGTGGTGGCCGCAGGCAACGAGCAGCTGGACCTCGACGCGAGCCCCCAGTTCCCCGCGGGCTTCGCCGAGAAGATCCGCAACGTTATCAACGTGGCCAGCACGGACAAGCAGGGCGGCCTGCTGTACGACAGCAACTACGGCAAGGGGACGGTCCACCTTGGCGCGCCGGGGGAGAGGATCCTTTCCACGGTTCTGGACGGCAAATACGCCTACTATAGCGGGACTTCAATGGCCGCTCCCTTTGTCGCCGGTAAGCAGACGCATGGGCGATGGATGGTTTGGATGAGCGAGGGCAGTGTGTGTACCATCTGTGTTTCGTGTGCAGGTGTGGCGGCCATGGCGCTGAGTCTGCAGCCGTCTCTAGCGTTTGACTTTGAGTCTCTCCGTAAGATGCTGCTGGGCACAGTCAACCCTCTGGATGGCCTGAAGGGCGTCACCATCACCGCCGGACAGCTCAACGCCAAGGGAGCTCTCGAGGTACACACCCCTCTCTCCCCTGTGTGTGTCCCCTCAGTGACAGTTTGTCTTTGCTGGCTGTGTCTGTCATCAGGAGGCCATCATAGCGTCGGACAGCGCGTCCATAATCGTCAAGAAGCACTCGTCCTGCTTCCAGACGGACACCGACTTCCACGGCCACGACATCCTCGGGCCCCTCACCACCACCTCGCCCCTCACTCTCAACGGCCGGCGGGTGCAGCCTCTGGCCGCCAGCACCCCCGAGGCCTGTCAGGAGGCCTGCCAGGCGCTGAGCACCTGTGCCTACTGGACCTTCAACAAGGCCAAGCAGTGCTGGCTTAAGAGGAAGGATGCCGTCAGGGGCGCCAGCCTCGCGGAAGGGGCCGTCTCGGGACCAAAACGATGCAGACCTAAGCGGCAAGGTAAGAGAGAAATCGGCGGGAAGAGCTAGAGCTGAGCATTGACTTTTCTCTGTCTGCCACTCACTCAGACGAGCGCCACAAAAGCATGGCCACCAGTGGGTGTTTCGAGCACGACACTGCCCTGGCCAGCGTCAGCAAAACCGCCAAAAACACATCCGACCCCGTGCGTGTGGCGACCAACGTGACGTCGGCCATCAGCTGCCAGGCCGCCTGCCTGCTCGTGGGCGACTGCCTCTCCTGGACCTTCTATCCCCCCACCACAACCGTCCGCACCGAGGGCGTCATGGCCCCCATTGACAGGACCGAGGCGTTCACACACATCAAAAACATCTCCAAGACTATCACCAACAAGAACACCACCAAGGCGGCTGAGAATGGCACAGCTGATGCTGATGCTGATGCCACGGGGGGGTGCTATCTGCAGCGAACCACGGAATTTTCGCGCAGACGTGTGGTGGGGGCGGTCTCTGGGTCGAGGGCGTCACGAGAGTGCTCAGGTGGGTGCAGGCATTCACACCTGACTGCTGAGACGATGGAGGCCCGCGGTGATGCTGCACTCTCTCTGTTTCGCTCCGTTGCAGAAGCATCGTCGGCTAATGTGACTGTCACGGCCACCGCCTCCGAGGCCAGCCCCGCCGTCGAATCGCACACCCTCCTCTCCTGGCTCATCTGCAAGGTCGACTCATCCCAGCCATCGTGCGCCGGCAACAACACCACAGCCACCAAGACACAGCAACACTGGGACACCACCACGACCAACAGCAGCACCAGCAACGTCGGCAGCGGCAATCTCGTGCGCATCCGCAATGCGGCCGAGCCCGACCCGCCGATGGGCGAGGATGCGCTCAAGGAGGCCCTCAGAATGCGGCGCGACATGCGGGACAGAATGGGAGCTGTGAAGGAGACCAGCACGGGGGCTGGGGCGATGATGGGGCCTGGGTTGGGGGAGGGGGAGGACTACGATTGGATGGGCGTGTACACGGCAGCCGTTGGCAGCAGCCTCATGCTCGGTGCTATCGTGGTCTTCGTCTGTGTGCGGAGGGCACAAGGTACGTCGCTGCCACATTTGTAGACGTCACGGTGGAATGATTCTCTCTGTCTGCCGCTTGTGATTGGTCGGGTGCAGTGTTCAGTTTGGTTCGCGAGCAGACGGGCAAGACGACCCCCGGCAGCCCCCTGTGCATCCCCAAGATCGCCATATCCGGCACCCCACCCACCACACTCGCAGCAGCAGCGGCCTCGTCCGCCTCCCCCTCATGGGCGCCATCGCACCCCACCGCCCTCCACCAGTCAGCCTTCTTCTTCTTCCCATTCAGGACACATACACGCGACCACTCCACCCGATCTGAGCCGCCACCCGGACAGAGCCTTTCCCTCACGCTGCCCGCACAGACGGCCGTCGATGCATCTCTGGGTGGGGCCGACAAGAGGGCCAGCAATGGCGGCTCACAGACGTCGCGAGAGAGCGAGAAACGGGCGAAGAGTGTCGGCAAACACGGGCACAAGAAGACCCGGGCGGCTGGTGGTGGTGGTGGTGTGGATTCCGGTCCTGAGGAGAGCGAGATGCCGCACAAGCCGACGGATGGAGAGGGCAGCGGCAGCGGGAGGGCAGCGGTGGGCATGTACACCCCGGCCCATTTGGCGTCGAGGAGCGGCCGCACGCCCCAGACGGCCCCCACACACACGACGGGGTGCGGGAGGAAGGTGGCCACGCTGCCTATTAAGTCGAAGCGGACCAGACACAAGTAACGATGATAGATCGGATGGGATGGGCGCATCAAAGGAACGGATGGATGGATGGATTCCGCGAGCGGGTGGAATGGGTACCGTATGATGAATGGCTCCGTGTGTGTGTGTGTGTGTGTGTACGCTTCCGATTAATGGTCATCTAGTTTTGGTTGTGTGTGTGTGTGTGCTTGAGTGTGTGTGTGTGTGTCTGTGTGTGTGTGTGTGTGTGTGTGTGTGTCCCGCATGTCTATTTAAAACGTCCGTCCCCTGTACATACATACCGACAGAGTGTCTGTCTGTCTGTCTGTCTGTGTCTCCCTCCCTCTCTGTCTGTCTGTCTGTCCGCCTCTCTGCTGCCTGCTGCATGCGCTGCACACGTGGTGCAGATTTTCACCAGCCACTCTCTCTCCCAGAAAGGAAAGGAAGAAAGCAAACAAAAGGAATTAGCTCCTACATACCAAAGACACATGTAGGTATCGCACACATACCACACCACACCACACCATACACACACAGCGGTGCACCGATCCCCCCAGCCACGCCACGCCACTCGCCGCCCTTTTAGCTAGGTAGATATTTTACCTACCGGTCACTGCTTGCTGTGGTGGGTGGGTGGGCGAGTGTTCCCATTCACCGCCACACCCACCTTCAGGCTGTGAATGGGTGTCATTTTGTCGGTATTTCCATTCATTCATTCATCCCATTTCATCCCGATTCATTCCATCGCACCCCCCCGCCCACCCACACCACACTAATACTAGATACACACTCGATACGATACACACACTGTGTTGGTCATTCTCGCTTCTTCCTTCTGCCCACCATGTGCGCGTGTGCTCTCTCTCTCTCTCTCTCTCTCGCCCTCTGTCTCCGTCTCGTGTGTCTGTCTGTCTGTCTGTGTGTGTGTGTGTCTATCTGTGTGGTGTGTATGGGTCTTCCTGTCTTCCTGACTGCACGAAATCTGTATTATCAAGTGAGCGTGTGTCTGCCTTGCCTTGCTTGTGGTCGGCCGAGGCAGACACACCTCTGCAGTCAGGTGCACCCCATCCCGTCCCATGTATCCCACCCATGTCAATGATATATAGATAACATTGATATATTTGTTTACGCTCGAGTACTGACTGATTGGTTGCTTGTTGAGGGAGGGACACTCGTTGGTTGGTTGGTTGGTTGGTTGGTTGGTCGCCCTTCTCTCCCTTCCCCCTCCCCCTCTGCTTACACACGGAAGTCCGTTCGGTCCCCCTTGTATAGGTCGATGATGATGGATGGCGCTTTTGTAAGTTCAGTAAGTGCGCTGGCTGCTCCCTTTTCCCGCTCTCCTCCACGCCACGCCCGTCTGCCCGCCTTCTCTCAGAGCTGAGCGTTTTGTCTCTCTGCCTGTCTCCCTGCCTGCATACACTCACATACAAATGGCGATCGAGGCTTGTCCCCACACTACCTACACTCCTTTCTACTCTACACACAGACACACCACTGCCCTGCCTACCTGGATTTTCCCAGCCACACATATCCATGCAGTCCCGTCAGTCAGTGAGTGGAGTCAGGCCACCTTTTGAACGGCGCCAGCCAGGTCAAGCTGCTGAGCTCAGTCACCAACCGCCATCGATCGCCTGAAGCGAGCACTAGTGCATGGTTTTGTGCTGCATGCCCTTGGTGGGGTGGGTCAGGTGAGTGAGGCCCGGGCCTCCGCCGTACACGTGACGCAGGGGATGGGTGGGTAGGTGGGGATGGACGAAACGGATCATGATAAAACGGACACACAGGGGCGGCAGGAGCAGGGACGGACGGACGTACATGGGGGTGACGTAAGACACTAGGTCGATTGCTTGCAATGAGTGCTATCAAGTGGAATGTTTTCAGAGTGCATCTCCCGGCCACATTCGGCCAGGAGCCGCGAGTTCAAACATCCTGTCACGGTGCTCAAAGGTGGACGAGGGCGAAGGATGAAGAGGAGTTGATCATTATCCATCACCCTCCTGCCTCCGTTGCTCATGATCTTTCGATTGGGAAGGCTGATGAGTCTCTCGAACACGGTTGCTCTGCCTGCGTTGCTGTTTTGCCAGCTACAAAGCATAAACTGCCTCACCACCCCTCCGTCTGCCTCTTCCCTGGACCCCCGAGGCAAGAGATCTGCGTCCACGGCACACGGCCACAGCCTGTCTGCGCATGAAGGCTACTGGTTCAGCAGCAAGGCGGCGTCCTCGACGCCTCCCTTCCTTCTGGAGCGCATTCGCTCATCGCCGCCGCACTCCCTCATCGCTGGAGGGTTTGAGCCTCTCGAGGATCACGACCTGTGAGTGAACCGCGGGAATAGAAAGCGTCTATGGGACACAGACGTGGTGTTTGTGGTGTGTGTGTGTGTGTGTCGAAGGTATGAGGTCCCTCCCGAGAGCATAACGGGCGAGCTGCCATCAGGGCTGAGAGGCACGCACTTTGTCAACGGGGCGGGCAGGATCAGGTATGCACACGCACAGAGATCCACCCCACTGAGCATTGCTGATTGTTTTCCTGCATCTCCACTGTCAGGGTGGGCAACACGTTCTACGGCCACTGGTTTGACGGCGACGGCTTCATCGCTGCGCTCAGCCTGACGGGCGACGGGAGGGCGTTCTTCCAATCCAAATACATCAGGACGAAGAGGTACCTGGCACAGGAGAAGATTGGTGCGTCGAAGCTGGCCATGAGAGGGGCGTGGACCAACAAGCCGGGGGGCGTGTTCGGCAACATGTGAGCAGCTGACGCACACCCACACACACCGAGGCGCACCTGATGATCACTTGTGCAGGTTTCGCATCCCGACCAACCCGAGCAACACGGCCGTCCTGTACTATGACAACAAGCTGCTGGCCTTGTGCGAGGGCGGTGTGCCCTATCAGGTGGACCCGTACACCCTGCGGTCAAGCGGCAAGGGCACAGGCGACTACACCTTCGGCGGAGCCGTCACACAGACATTCGGGTACACAGACACATACGCTTGGCATGATGTAAGCTGACACTTCGCTGGGTCACTCCTATCTGTGTGGTGTGTGCATCTTGGACACAGCGCCCACCTCAAGCGCGACCCGACCACCGACGTCATCTACAACTTTGGCGTCGAATTGAGCGGGAGCAAACTCATCATCTTCAAGATCTTCCCGCCTCTCACCCCAGGCACCCCCGGACACACCGACACCGCGTCCATCGGGCTGCGGGGCTTTGTGCCGTTCACGCACGACTTCGCCATCACTGAGAACTACATAGTGGTGGTGTTTTCGGCGTATGTGCTGGAGCAGACGAGGTCGCTCGGCGTGCTGCTGGGGAGAGGGACGATTGGGGGCGGCTATGAGTGGAGGGAAGACAAAGGTGCGGCCCATCCCCCCCAGGACGTGCTGTCCTCACACCACACCCATTGAAGGCATCATGTGTGGTGTGCATGGTTGTCCACGCTTGGTGTGTGTGTGTCAGGTAGTCGTGTTGTGGTATTGAAGAAGAGCGACCTGTCCTGCGTGGCTGACTTCAAGACGCCCGCCATCTCTTTTTATCACGTGGCCAATGCGTTCGAGGACCCCAAGGACAACAGCACCATCAGGTTACACATCGCAAGGCACGCGAGAGCCAACAGAGAAGAGGTAGGTATACAGACACAGACAGACACGCATAGCATAAGCCCACATGCCATGAGAGACCTAATCCCTCTCTTTGCGTGTGTGTGATCCATCGATCAGGTTGAGAAGTTCTTGTCGAGTCCGCAGCTGGTGCCCAACACGCTCGATCGCATGCCCGACCTTCACGAGCTCGAGATCAGCCTCAAGGACAAGCGAATCGTCCGCAACGTGCCTCTTGCCACGCCTTCAGGGGCCGTCAAGGGCTGCGCCGGAGAGTTCCCAATCATCAACCCCAAGATGACCGGCAAACAAAACAGGTACACACATACACAGCCACAGACAAACAGTGCCGCTCTCTCAACAGCATGAGGCTCCTCTCTGTCTCCTTGCCTCTGCAGGTATATCTATCAGACGTGCCTCGACACGACGTCGGCACCTGATAACCAAGACTCGCAGTACTTCAATGCGATCCAGAAGGTCGACCTGCGCGGCGAATCCTGGCCCATCTACAGCTTCTCCCCTTACAGAGCGCCGAATGAGGCCTACTTCATCGCACGGGAGGGCTCCAAGGCTGAGGACGACGGCTGGCTGCTGGTGCCCGTGTACAACGCGTACCAGCACATCAGCGAGTACTGGATATTCGAGGCGGCCGACATCGCCAAGGGACCGATCTCGGTGATATCGCTGCCGCACCACTTTCCCTTCACCTTCCACGGCACGTTTGTGCGCGGCCCCAAAGTCCCCGATGGCATGCTCAAGAACAGGGGGAGGGCAGCTGCGGCACCAGTGGCGAGATGAGTGAATGAATGATGGAGTGGGCGAGAGAGGGGGGTGTTGGTGGCTAGGCTATGCTATTTGTGTATGTCGATATGTAATCTATATCGTCTTATCGGTTTGGTGGTGTGGTGTGGTGTGGGGGGTGTGAAGAGCGTCCCAGCTAGGCTGGACAGACCAAGTGGTGGGCAGTGTTTGTGCAGTGGGCCGAGAGCGTCGGATGACGCTATCTAGAGAGTCATTTTGTGACCTGTATGGACCTTTTTATGGGTTGGCGTCTCAGCACATAAACGTCCCCCTGCACGCGCCTCACGTCGCCTTGAGGTCGAGCACGGCACGGCACCACTCTCGATGCTGAGGCCATCAAGAGCGATTCCGTGACGAAGCTCTCACCAACACCACATGAGACACGAAGAGTTCACGACCCTATCGCAACTCTCTCCAAGAGACAAGACGACTACAAAACACACGATACAGCGAAAAATGTGTGTTGTCAATCCGACACATGCAGATATGTATCCAGAAACGGCAAGTGCGATATCGCCACACGCAAGCCATTCACATAAACGGCATCCCATGCACGGCATCACTCAATGGCCATCGATACGAAGCAGCCCTTCTTGTCACAGTAGCCCAGCTGCGGCCACTCGAACACGCAGTCGCCAGCCAGATGCTCGTTGAAGCCCTTCGTGATGCCCGTGATCCCATACTTGGAGGCCTCGTCCATGCGCGCTTTGTGCACCACCTCACGCAGGCCGATCTCCCTCTTGCTGCCGCCCTCGGAGACCGCGAAGCACTGCAGCGGTGGGATGCTCACCGTCTGGCCCCGCACCTCCATGACCCCGCCCACCACCTCCTTGTTGCTCGCCGTCTTGGTCGCAGCACATGTCACGAAATGCGACATGGCCTTGTGGATGCGCTTGCCCAGTGCGAAGTGGGAGCGCAGCGCGATGGAGTTGAGGGCGGTCTGTGCCGTCTCGCCGTCGAAGTTGAATGCCGCGATCCGCCAGGCGAGCAGCGCCGCCTCGTGTGGGCCGAGGGAGAGGCTGGAGGGGGACGGATCATCGCCGTCGTGATGGGGAGCCAGCGGCAGCAGATGGGTGAGGAGGGCCGCGAGGTCTCGGTGTGGCTTGAGGGCCTTGTTGACGGCGTCCATGACGTCACGGGCCAGCAGATGCAGCACGCTCGCGTACTCGTGCAGCACCACACGTCGCTCCTTCTGGAGGCTGTCCTGATCGAAGTCAGGGGGGCGCATGGTGTCGATGCACGCCCCGGCCCGCAGGAGGGCCCGGATGATGAGCTTCTGTGTCTTGATGATGGTCTCCTCGTCGCGGACGTCCTTCTGGATGCAGCCGTGCTGGAGGTCGTCGGCCAGAAGGCCCGATATGGTGGCGAGATGGGAGTGCGGCTTTCGATCCAGCTGTGCGAGGGTGAGATGCCGACAGAGGTACTCGGCCACAACGAGGGAGCAGTGGCCGGCCATGGTGATGGCGTCAGTCATCGGCGTGCCGTGGGTGAAGTTTTCCTCGTTGAGCGACGCGCCGTGGGCCACCAGCAGGTCAAGGTAGGCGATGATGAAGCTGGTGGAGTACTCGGGCCAGCAGTCTTGAGCGATGTGGTGCACGGCGGTCGTGCCAGCGATGTCTTCATTGGTGCCGTCATACGCGATGCTCTCGGCTGCGAGGGTCGAGTCGATGGCCAGGAGCCGACCAATGGTGGCCATGAGGTTCTCTTCGTATTGCCGGCTGGTGGGGGTGGGGCAGGGACGGAAGGGCACGAAGATGAGCTGCTGGCCTTGGAGGCTGGCGCCGTGCTTGACGAACACCTCGAACGCCTCCATGTTGGCTCTGCGGATGGCCAGCTTGATGGGCGAGAGGACGGTGTCATCGGGCCAGACGCCTGTGACGGGATTTTTTGAGCCTCTCGGGCCTCTCACCCCCAGCCCCTCGATCAATGCGCCCTTCTGAATCAGCGCCTCGAGAACGGCTGCCTGCATCTCGCGGCTGGGCCACGTGGGTAGATCGATCTCCGGCACCTCACCCCAGACCATCAGGGAAGAGCAGCCCGTCACGTCGTCAATGGCCAGGCCGAGAATGCTCACAGTGGTGGTGGTGCGCTCGCCGTCTTTGTCGCGGCTGGGGACAGATACGTGCAGGTTGGCATCGGCGCCGTCTGGTCCGTCGAAGAGACGGCCCAGGTCGGCCACTGTGACGGTCCGCTGCTGGATGCCGCTGCAAAGCTGCTCACTCGCGGGGCTGGTGCCGGCAGGGAGGCGGTAGAGACCTGCCAGCCCGAGCAAAAGATGATGAAGCTGGCGTTGTGTGCGCCTGTGTGGTGTGCAGGAACATACCGGTCTGCAGGTGATCTTCTTCCTCACTCGTGCCGCCAGATGCTCTCGCCTTGGCTGCACCAACACACACAGACAGTACAGCACCTTTGTGCTTGAACCGACGCCTTCTCACCATCGTGCTCCTTGGCCTTCTTCAGCTCCCTCAAACCAAACATACACATGGCGTCCATGGGGTGCGCTTGCGGCTTCTTGCCGCCATCGCCGCCCTCGCCCCTCATGGTCCCTCGCTGCTGGGTGCTGGGATGGTGACGGCGACGACCTCCTGATAGACCACCACCCACCCACTCATCATCCACCTACCACACACACGAGGGACGGGTCGAGGCTGAGGGCCTTGGCGAAGTCCATCTCGGCCTCTTCCAACTTGCCCAGTCGACCGTACACGCGACCACGACGCAACAAACCCTGAACACACCAACCAACCAACACACACACACAGACAGATGGATTTCACGCGCGGACGTCGTCGTCTGCTCACCTTGATGTGTGTGCCGTTTTCGCTGAGAAGCAGGGTGGCGGCGTTGATGGCGCTCTCGTCGTCTCGCAGGTGGTCGTAAGCCAGTGTCAGGTTGGCCAGCAGGGCCTCGCGCACCCCACGCACGAGCGGATGGTATCGAACAGGGTCGGTCCTCCTGAGCCCCTCTCTGTAGCTCGGGACTGCGAGGAAGTTCTTGCCTTGTTTCATCTCGTTGTTGCCGTCATCCTTGCAATACGTTGCACTGAACAACAGCAGCCACACACACACAGCGACAACAACGGCACACCCACGGACAAGTGGCACGACCCACGCACGGGTGCCTCTCTGATCCCGCGTACTAAGAGACGATGGCCTGGACTTCCTGGAGATCATGCGCAGGCGGCGCCTGCTCGTGGACGGCGGCGTGAGGGGAAGAAGGGCTGAGGAACCGGAGTTCCGCCTCCGCCTGAAAGAGTTCATCAAGCTTGGCACGGTCCGACTCTGGCTGGGACGACATTGGCTGGTCCGAAGCAGCTTCGGAGAAAGGAAGGGCGGAGATCTGCTTCAAGCTGGCAGATTCTGACCGTGAGACCTTGCCCATCGCTTTGTGCTCTACTGCGGGTGGTAGTGACAGGTATTGCCATCTGCATTGCCGCCACCGCTGCTTTATCATCCTTTCATCAGCTGCCTGTCCGACAGCAGAAGATCCTGAAGGCGCCGACGAGGCCAGCGCTGTTCACGAAGCAGCAGCAAGCCGTGAAGATGTCGCTGCTGCTCATCGACGTAAGCCGATTGATGGAAACACATAACATGCGAAAACTCGCGCCTGTGCTGCCGTTGGTCAGGTGTACTCTGATTTTTGCTGCCCATGGTGTTATGTGGGGGAGAGAAGGCTGCGTAAGCAACGCTGAGGCCAGTGCACCGTCCATGCTCGTCATTCCTCTAGTGCTTGTGTGTGTTTGCAGTGTCCGCCGTTGAGTCGTTTGCCGCTGAAAGTGGCCGACGCATTGAGCTGACATTCCACCCATACATGATCGACCCGGTATCACGAGCAGCGAGAAGAGGATGCGGATCCACTGCGTGTGGTCTGGACGTCTCCTGGGTGTGGTGTGCCTTGTGTGTATGTCTGCAGCGCATCCATAAGGACGGCGAAGAATACATGGTGGGCGAAGAACAAAACAGCAGACTCTGACGTACTTGTCCCACGGGTGGTCCTGTCTGTGCACCACTGGCGTCAGGACTACTGCCGCAAGCGGTGGGGAGGCGATGGACGGACGAGCGGGCTGAAACAGGAGGGTATCTGTAGCACACACACCAGCAACATGGTGCACATCTGTATGTATGTGCGATGGTTTGGGTGTGGGTGTGTCCGTGTCTTCAGGTCGGCAAGACGGCTGCGCCTTTGGCGGCTGGAAGGTTTGGGCGAACACGCTCAACGCCCACATGCTGGTGGACTTCGCGCAAAGACAACACCAGCGGCAGATGAAGGAGGCGCAAGACACACAGACGCCTGAACAGATCGCAGGTACTCACGGCCCGGATGGATTGAACACTAGAGCAAAGTCAATTTCCTTGTGTGTGCGATTCGTTTGTCAGCCTTGAAGGAGGCCCATCAGCAGCGCCTTGTGAGGCTGGTTGATCTCTTGTTCACAAGGTAGGTACGCCGACAGAAACACGCATGCATGCCCATCTGTCTCTCTGTCATGGTATTTGTTTGGTGCAGGGCCTATGAGGAGGGCAAGAACATATCCCTCCCAGCGGAGCTTGATACGGTGGCCGCAGAGCTGGGGGACATCGATGCCAGCGAATTCCGAAAGCACCTCAGCGACCCGACTGGTACACAAGCACACACAACCAGAATCGAACTGTTGATCTGCCTTCCTGTGTCTGCAGCTGTTGCCTCCGTCAAGGAGGAGGATGCAGAGGCGAAGGGCGGCCTCAGCATCAGGGGAGTGCCGTACTTCATTGTAAGGGAGAGCGGCAAGACCCCCGTAGCACTTTCTGGCGCACAGCCAAAACAGGCTTTCCTTGAATTATTCAAGAAGATGCGGTAGATGGACAGATGACCAGGGAGGGGGGCGAGAGCTGAGTTGTACTGAATGGTCGCATCTTTGCGACACGTCGGTTTGTCTGCAGGCGATAGATCTGCACTGGATATTTGCATGCATGCGCAAGGATGGGGGTAAGACTGGGGGCTCCCCAGTCTTCTTGTCAAGTCCTCTCCTTTCGTGTGCATCCCGTCATTCCATCCATCCATCCGTTTCATCCCCCTCCAAGACAGCCCGCCATCCCTTGAGCAGCGTGCCGCCTGTCATCCCGTCCATCCTCTCTCTCTCTCACCATGCAGCATCTCTCCGCCTGTGTCCTTCTCCTACTCACAACGTCATCAGCCGCCTCCCTCCTGGCCCATGACTTCGACAGAACGCATGACATTCTCTCGTCGGCCTTCACTGAGATGAGCAATCATCTGGAGCAGTCGGGGCTCAGTGTCGACCCCGCATTCCTCCACGAGTCGGCCCACAATGCCGCCAAGGACGTCCTGCACGTGCTGGAGACCCACAGACAGACACCAGCAGCAGGAGCACCGGACAGAAATGGGACGGCCGTCTCCATGCTGGCCATGCAGCAGCCAGGAAGTTACGACCTCGGTAAGGAACGCAGAGAAAGGAGAGAAAGGATACGTCCTTGCCTTACTGTCATTTGCTCTCTACGGTGCAGTGCATCAGGTGCAGACGCTCGTCGAGAAGCACCTGGTCGGTGAGAGCCCCAACAAGCAGACAGACAGACAGGCAGGCAAAGCATCAGTCTTCTGTGTGTGTTCGTCAGCTGTTGTGTGCGGAGACGGCTCTCCGCAAGGCCACGGCCCGCTGCGACGCTGCAGTGGCACACATCCAGAAGATACTCGCCACATCTCAGAGGAAAGTCGCCACAGACGCACACGTAAGCAGGGCAGGATGGGCATGATCCCCAGGACAGCGGGCCACAAGACCACTTTGTGTGCGTGCAGGAGATCTTGACGATGTCGGCTTTGGCCACGATGGAGGCCAACCTGCGGAAGGCCATCCAGCGGTGCCACGACGCCCTGACCAAAATCCACAGAGACACCGTAGGGGGCAAAACGGTTCGAGAGCCCATCATCCCCCGTGTGCGTCTTACTGCTTGCAGCAACAGCACGAGAGAGAGGCCGCCGCCCAGCAGAACGCCATCAAAGCCGAGATTGTCAGATATTTCAGGAGCGCACCATAGATAGATGGTGCAGATGTGACTGTGCCATGCTTTGCTCAGGAGAGTCGTCGCAATCAGCTGCTCCAGATCAAGGCGACGCTAAGTGCGGCCTTCCAGGGAGGCACCTTCTCCTCATCTGTACGCAGCTGGCGCCACACAGCGCCGCTGAGAGCATGTACGTGTCGCGCCTTTGTGTACTGTGTCGGCCAGGGCAGTCCAGGTGACTCGGGGTGCTGCAGCCAGGACAAGCTGACCGACTGTTTGCTGCCCGCCGTGGACGCCGCACCCAACCCCCTCATGCAGTGTGTGGCCACACACATGTGTGTCGGAAGCGGCTCATCCCTCGTCCAGACCAGCGCCGCAGCTGCCAATGGTCACGAGACATACACATGTCGATTGCCTTGTCGTGTCTTGGCGACATGGTGTGTGTGTCGGTTCAGGCAGCAGCACGATTCAGATGGCCAACGAGAACCAGGCAGCTTTCCCACAGCTGAGCAACGGTATGGGCATTACGACACCAGCGAGCTGATGGCAACAGCTGCTTGTGGACGTGTGTATCTCGCTCAGATGAGGATTTCGTTTTCGGCCTGCCGGCGAACAACCCGAGCACTGACGGCCATTACTACCCCTCACTCATGCAAATGAAGACAAGTGCGCAGACACATGTACATCGATTCATGTGACTGTCTGCTGTGCGTCGTTTCTCTCTGCAGAGTCCGTCCTGGCTCACCGGCAGACGGCCACAAGAGAAGACGAGACCATTTGAAGGCCGTGTGTGTGTGCGATCAGCTAGTGGACTGCGGTGTGCCTCTGTCTGTGACTCTGTCGTTTGGCAAATAGGCAGACAGAGACAAACGGAGTAAGTGTTGTGTCTGTGACCTTTGAGTTAATGCATTGAAGTATGAGCGATTTCCCCCGCCTCCTCCGCTCTATTATCCATGGCAGCGATTAGAGACTGCACACCGGTGAGGAAAGCGACGAGCTGCGATCTGCATGTCGTGCTCTCTTCACTCAGATCAACGAGCGGCAGAGTTCATTCTGCACAGAAAAAGTGAGCGGTCAAAACTGACAGATTCTCACACAGCTCAAGCGCCCTTATACCCTTGTGTCTTCTGCCATCCTGCCGTCCTATTCACGGCTTCAGATCTTTTCCACCGAACGGCGAGATTTTCGCGACGGGAGACGGACGAAACCCCGCAAACCCTGATTTACAGTTTTGGAATTCATTTCTCATGATTCTCTGCCGGATTCGGCTTTCCAGCCTTCTTTCAGCCACATTTCCTCCGCTTGTTTTCCTTTTAACTTGGTTGTTGACTTGTGTGGCCCGCCTCATCCTCCTCTACCCCTCCCAACTCGTCCGGACGTCATCCGTCACTTCGTTCCTCCAACCCTGTGGCCCGGGCTGAGTGTCAGCTGGCGGCGCTCTTGTCCTATCGGGCTGTTGGCGAGTACCTGGCGCCACTGCAGCGTGAGCGCGCACCTTCTCTCTCTTTCAGGACGATCCCATCAGGTGAGTGCATACGCGTGCAATGTTATATGTTAACAGCTCCTGGCTTTGGTGATGGCGTGGGATATGGATGATATGGGAGGGGGCGGGCCCGGCCAGCACAACACTGGCGAGGACAACACCCCCAGCAACAACAACCAAGACATCTAGACCAACGATAAGGTGAACAGGGGACCAAATGACTCGAACATTACACCACGCCATACCACACCACACCAAAATGTGTGTGCCCTTGTCTGTGTGGCGTCGTCAGGGTGACTAAGAAACGGACAGTAGATGTAGCTGGCGAGAAGGGTTGAAGGATAGCTATGCCGTGAGTGTCTGAGAGCGGACAGAGAGAGGGGGAGAGAGGTGTGAGTGAGAGGCCTTATGCGTAGCCTTTCAGACGTGTTGGTTTCGACCGATAGCCAGCCGGGATGCCACTCTCCAGTGCGCCGTTGGTTCAGTGGATGACGCATCAAGGGGAGGCGCCCGGCACACACACGTCTGACTGATAGCCTTCATGCTGCTGCCAGGTGTTCTCGATTTGTGTGTGCACAAGGGTAGACGAAGTAGATTGGATGGATGAGTGATGAGTGAGTGGCTGCCTGGTTGTGTGTCCGTGGTGCGCCCTGCCTGTGTTGCGTTTGGTCGGTGTGGATGGTGTCATCTCGCTGGTGTTGGCATTGCTTATGCCTTCACGAGTGGCTGACACCTCCTCACCTCACTGGGCCGCGACACAGGGCGGGCACACACCTGTCGACAGCCATTGGTGAATCGCCGTCTGGCCGTCTTGATTAGCCGGTGGATCTGACACACATTGAGGTGGTAGAGGTAATGCAAAAGACTAGAGTTGTGGAGGTGGTGAGCCATAACACCGTCTTACATGGCTTCTCTGTCTGTCTGTCTGTCTGTCTGACTATCTGCAGAAATGGGAGACGAAAGTGGCCGAGAGGGACGTGGAGGTCAGTGACCGGGCAAGCTGTGCAGACCCATGCAGGCAGCCCTCACACTATCTGTGTCTCACTGCTTGCTGTCTGCTGTCTGATGTCTGCAGCGGGCCTTACATGATTTGTATGGCCTGCGTGTGGAGGGGAAATTGGGCTACGGGGGCCAGGCGGAGCTGTGGCGGCTGTCGAGGGGCAAGGTGGTCAAGGTGCTCGACAAAAACTACTCCGTCGGCGGCGTAAGCACGACTTAGACCACAGCGACAAGGACCACAAGAGACCATCATCCTTGCCTGTGTGTGTTGGTGTCTTGCGCAGCCCAACCACAAGCCGACATTTCAGCTTCACCACGAGAAGGGGCTGGCCAAATGCCCCCAGCTGGTGCGGCTGCACGGCGCCTTCACCGTCACGAGGTGCCACCGCACCTGTGTGTTGATGGAGTTCGTCGACGGTGGGCGAATGAGTAACACACACAAAGCACGGGATGCTGCAGAGCTTGTGGATGTGTGTGTGTGTGCAGGGCAGCCGGTGTGGGAGCTGTGCGGCGGTGTGGGGGGAGGGAGACGCGAAGACCATCACCCGAGATCTCCCCCTCCGCCGGCTGGCCCACCTCGACGTCAAGCCCGACAACCTTATCCGGCGAGGGGACGGGTCGAGTGTGCTGATAGATCTCGACTTCATGGCTAGATATGAGGTGAGACATGGACATAAAAAGGGAGCAACCGATGGCAATGGCTGGGTGGATGGCTGCGTGTGTGTTGTCTGTGGTTGACATGCAGACGGGCGATGGGAGACGGAAAGACATGAGGGATACAGGTAGGTGTGCCTGCCTGTTCTCGGCCGATGTATCGGGACTGTCATCTCTCTCTCACTCTGTGTGCGTGTGTGTGTCTGTCTGTGATGCTGCAGTCAGCACGCTGTTGATGTTGCTTGGGGTGGACAGCGAAACAGTCAACACGGTCCTTGCAGCCGACACGGTCCGGGAGAGAACCTATCAGTTGATCTTGACACACATAACTCTGACGCCTCTGCTTTGCCCCTCATTGGAATGCAGCCAACGGAAGAGGACATCGTTGTCTACGTTTTATATTTGACGGAGGTGTTTCCAACGGCGCTGCGAAGCCTCCCGAAGAGAGATGACCCGATGGGGTGGCAGGGGATTCTCAGCCCGCTCCAGGTGTATGCACTGAGTACTCCCGACACAAGTTCTACGGCCATCTCAAGCTCAGTCTGCTTCGCCTGGGCTCTTCGGGCGCGTACAAGAACTGAGCGACTTATACAGGGCCGAGAACATTTGGTGAGCGGCGGACAAGCTGGAGCCTGCGTCTGTGCACTGCGGCGTGTTTCTTGTCGTCCGCACACAACGATGATCGCCTCTGAAGTACTCACGGCTATTCGGTTCAGAGCGCAGAGATGCTTGAAGAGATTCCTCAACAACAGGGTAAGTGAGAAAAGTGGATGGATGGATGGGAAACGATGCGTCGGTTTCGCATTGCCTTCCCTGCGTCCGCAAGAATACGCTGTTCCACGCGATGTGGTCTCTGAGGGCGATTTGGTGTACGGCGGACGGGCGCTCCACTCCCGACACAAGTTCTACGCCCATCTCAAGCTGAGCGTGCTTCGCCTGGGCTCTTCGGGCGCCTACAAGAACATGGCGGCCCTCTGCCGCAAGCTGACCGACTTGTGCAAGGACGAGAACATCACTGTGAGCGTGTTGTCCTGGGTGAGCCAAACGTGACACCAGTAAGCTGAGCTCTTCTTTCTGCATGCGTCGTGTGCTGTGACCCTGCCCTCCTCATTCAGGACGATGGAGCCGAGAGTCTGCCGGTAGCGAAGGTATGTATCCCCCGCACACGTCTGAAGAGCCATACCTATCCACCACACCACAGGTTCTCTCCGCCTGCTTGTTGCCTGCAGGGGACGGCTCCACACTCACCTCCTCAGCCCAAGTGGCTGCGTCGAGTGAGCCACGTGCACCCATCCATCCATCCATCCATCCATCCACCACACTCTTTTCTGTCCCCTCTATCTTGCTTGCAGTTCTGGTGCGCGTCAAACCCTGCAGTCGTAACGATCCTGCGTTTGTTGGGGGAAGACCTGCAAAAGGAACCAGTACAAGAGGACCAATGAAATGATCGTCACAGACAGGCATTCTCTCCCACTCTGTCTGTGTCTGTGATGCTGCAGTGACGACAATGTTGAAATTACTTGGTGTTGACACGGGGGCGGGTAACACGATCCTCACGGCCGCCACGGTATGAGAGACAACGTTATCAGTTGATCTCCAAATACATGACTCCCTCTCTGCTTTGCCTCTCATTCCAATGCAGCCGACAGAGGAGGCCATTCGTCAGGCCCTGTATCCATTCGCCCCCTCCACCGAAGTGGTCGACTTCATCGCCAAACTTCTCAAGGGCATGAGCGCTCAGGAGGTCAGTTAGCCAGGGAAAAACAAGGACACTTCTCCCATGTCAGATTCGTGGACGTCTTGTGTGCTGTGTGTCGCCTGTCTCTCCCCCGCTCCTTCGGTCGTGCAGGCCCTCCACCACCCGTGGCTTGCTAATTCCCCACCACAGCCACCAGCTGCTGCCGCTACTGTTGATGTCTATGCACCTCCTGCTGCCACCGGTGAGTGGGGGAGAGACACAACTGACATCCATTGCAATCAGAGCGCCTCATCTCTGACATTGTATTGGATTGTTCGTCTCTTGACAGAACGACCGTATGTGCCGCCTGTGTATCGGCTGCCGCCACCACCGCCCCGACGAGTCCCTGCCGGTGAGTGGACAAGAGACACAATTTATTCAGTTCATTGCCATTGATTCTCTCCTGACGCACCTGCCCAAGCACTACTTCCATTCAGCATTGGAGGGCCCTTTTGCTGCTATGCTGTGTCCCTGCCAGCCAGCAATGCGCCACGAGGAGAGGCGGTGCGGAAGGCACCTATCGTTGTCTACATTTTATATTTCCAAGGCACTTTTCATTCGTCAAAACTGTGCATCGTTGGACTGTCAACGTCATGGAGCTGCTCAAGGGTACACACGTCACGCCACTCCATGCCAGGGCACACACATTGCCTTTGTCGCCCGTCTGTGTCTCGTATGTGTATCTGTCTGGGTAGGGCGAATCGTGCGGCGGACCCCGCCTCTCTCTCTGGAAGCGTAATCCACGAAACGCTGAAGGCAAGTGCCTTCAGCGTTTAACTCGAGTGCCTTCAGCGTTTACTCCACTTTGCAGGAGGGATGGCGCGCTGTCTGCCTGACAGCAAGGGCACAGTTTAGATAGTCAACGACATCCTTTGGTCAGAATCGCAGCCGGCGCCACTGCGGTTCACAAACACAGGTGAGAGCCAGCCGCTCATCCATCGACGTATACGCACACAATCTCCTGTGCTGACGTTCGGGATGGCTGAGCAAATTCGATATCGTAGACGTGTGGGTCGTCGTCAGATTTCGGCGCGGCTCTCGGGAAGCAAGCAATCGTGAGGCCCGGCGTGTCATAGAAAAGCTGATGCGAGATCAGGTGAGCAGAGAGAAGAGGCAGTCAGGAAGCCGGAAGACCATCCACGCACCTTGGTTGCGTTGTTCTCTTGTTTTCCGGTCGTCGGGCAGCGTCCCAAGGCGGTGCGTCTGAAGGTGCACGACCACCCGTCGGCGTGGCGCTGTGGATGGGTGGATTGGACAGAGGCGGGGCTGCCTGCAACGGTATTCCGTGTAGGTATTGACAACAACACACTGACACAGCTCTGCAGCGAGTACGGAGGGATGCATGAGGACATCATACACATCAGGGTGGTCGAGCAGGTCGGTCGGTTGACACATGCACATGACACTCGTCAGCCTGTGCCACCGCCGCACACACACACAGAATTCCCATGTCTGTTCTTTCAGGAGCACGATGAGCAGCGCAATGGAGAAGGTTCTTGTTTATGCGCCAATAAGCAAAGATCCCGATGCCTTTGAGCCCCTGCCCTCCCTCGAGGAGGCGGCCCGTCGGCGCAGGTGGCAGCACCACCCAGAAAGGGCGGAGAAGATAATCGCCAGGAGGAGGAAGTACAAGGAGAAGATAATCGCCAGGAGGAGGAAGTACAAGGAGACGGAGCGGGTGAGCTGGGCTGCACTGCGTGACATGGCTGCATGGGATAAATCAGGCACACACGCGGTCTCCGTTTGTGTCAATCACATCATTCCCTGTCTGTCTGTCTGTCTGCACCGCAGAAGTGGCAGAACGACGTGGGCGAGAGGGCAGTGGCCGTAAGCAAGACAGATCACAGCGACAAGACCTGCAATCGGCTCACCAGCTGCTGCTGTGTCGTTTGTGTGCAGGAGTACCTATATTACCGGTACGGCATCAAGGCCGACAAGAAGCTCGGCTTCGGCGGCCAGGGGTCTGTGTGGCGGGCGGGGCAGTATGCGGTCAAAGTCCTCGACCCGAACATGTCTGCCGGCGGGGTACGTGTGTGAGACGCATAGACAGAGAACACACAGGTCTGTCATCAACGGCTTGTCTCTGTCTCTCTGTCTGTCTATGTGCGTGTTGTGTGTAGGAGAATGAGGGTCTATGTACGTCAAGAGGGGGCTGTCCGACTGTCCGCACCTGCCGAAGCACTACTTCTCATTTACCGTCGAAGGGCGGACAGTCTACGTCATGGAGTTCTTAAGGGGTACTTCTCGTAATTAGACGAACGACTTCATGAGACAGACACTTCATGAGACCTCAAGGGTACGCGCACCACGCCCTTCAGGAGTTGCGCATGTCTCACCTCCCCGGCTGTGATTGTCTCTCTGTGCAGGCCGAACCGTGTGGGCAAGGAACGTCATTCGAGACACTCTCTCAAGGCCCTGCGCTTCCTCCACAGCAGGCGGCTCTCACACGAAGACGTCAAGGCCAACAATGTCATGGCCTCGTGCTGTCTGACTACGTGCTGTTCTGATTGACCTGGACCACATGTTCGTCGACGACTTGTCGGTAAGGAGGGAGGGAGGGAGGGAGAGGGATATGAGACACACATGGAATGGTATGTCTGTGTCTTACTGCATTTTGATGCCGGCAGGGCTCAGGGGTGGCCGACGACAGACAAAAGACAGGTATGCACAAACACACAGGCACAAGCCGAGATGGTCGGCATTGGGTGCGGATGGAGATGGAGGATAGAGGGGAAACGAGGCGTCAAGATGGAAGACGTGTGCCTGTCTATCTGTCTCTCCCTCGCTCCCTCGGCCATGCAGGCGCTTCAGCACTCATGGCTGACACCGTCGGCACTGCCGTCTCGACCGGCTGGTGCTCAGTCGCTGCTGTCCATTCGTCGCGTGTGTTGAATGAAACGCTTGCGGGTACTCATTGCTGCTTACATTTTATATTTGACTGTCACATTCATTCATTGGACATGCCATGTGGTCCGTGACACGAGAGTGGGATGAGAGCATTGTTTCCATGCGACGAGTAGTCTTTCCACACGAACAGTGTTAACAAGCCGTCCACACACCGTCAGCAACTCCGACGTACCCAGCGACTTGGACTGCCGCAGAGTGGCCGAGTGGAGGGAAAGGCCAGGCCGGTCGGAAATGGGTGTGGGAGTCTTTGGCCGGGTCATGTTTTCGATCTCATTGACGAGGCAGCGTGTCTGCTCGAGGACGGTCGTGGTGGGCATGATGTCCACAGGCAGGGGAGGGGGGCAGGGGAGGCGGGAGGGTGACTGCCAGTGGGATCGGCGCCTGGGACGCCTGTGACTCCACCTGCTGTGCCTGTGTCTCTTCCGGCGGCTGTTGCTCTTTGAGACTCTCTGCTGTCGGCTGGTCTCTAATCGCCAGCACAGCGGCACCACCAGCTGTAGCGGCAGCGTCCTTGCCTTTGCTCCTCACACCAACGCCACTCTTGGCCTTGCCCAGCACCCCCAGGCCCTTGTGCTCCCTCTCCCTCTTGGCGTCAACACGCTTCAGCCCCTTCCTCACACCCACACCGCCCCAGCCACTCCCCTTCACATAGCTGTCCGTCAGCAACGGGTCCGGCGGCCAATACGTTCACATTCACGTCCATCTCTCCACTCTGCTGCCCGTGCCGATGCTTCTTCGGCTGCACAGCCGCCATGACTTTCCCCCTCTTCCCCCCCCTCCCTCCCCTGACCCCGTCAGCCTGCCTGTGTCCGCAGCGGTCCGTCGCGCCTTCCCTTCTCGTCTCGGAAGCGGGACTGACGAGGGACCGACACGGCTCAGACAGGCCTCAGCGGGCCAGGATGGGCGGTGGGTGGTAAGGCGGTGGGGGCTGCAGCATGACGGGCAGCATCCTGGGCACCATAAGGGGGGCGGGTGGCAGCAGTGGTGGTGGCATCAGTGGTCGGTGTGGCGGTGGGGGCAGCACAAAATGTGCTCCTGTCAAGAGACGAAAGCCCATGACACCGTCAGAGATCAGCCCGCGTCATTGCGATGGATCTTGGTTGTGTCTCTGCTTCACTCACCGGCAGCGGTTGGATGAGGCGCATGCATGCCAGCAGCGGCAGCAGGGGCAGCTAGGAAGGGTGCCGATGGGGCCAGCCAGGGGAGTTTGAGAGCCTGCATGACCGACCGACACACAACATGTGATTGACATTGTGCCGCTTTTCGCCTGTGTGCTGACTGGCTGACCTCCTCTGCTGATGCGCCCTCGAAGATTGCAACCAAAAGGCTGACGAGGTCCCTCGATGGCGGCTCGGGCAGCTCCCTCGATAGAGCAGCGCGGAGGCCGGTCTCGGTGTCCTGCATTTCGAAAAAAAGGGCAAGTAAAGTGAATGTCTCTCAGACAAGTGTCTGGTTAATGCTCTCCTACATAATTGGCGACGATGTCCGCGGCCTTGTCGGCGTCGACGCCCATCAAACGCAGTATAGCGACCCATGGCAGACAGACACGTGAAGCGTCCACTGTGCGTGGTTTAGTGAGCAGACGTACCTGCCCACATCATGTCCTCGGCGGCCCCCTCGCCCGTCTGCACACACATCAATAGCACCAAAGAGGGACAATGGTGAGCCAGGCAGCCATCCAGGCGGCTATCCATCAATCGATGTCGTCGGTGTGTCTCACCAGGTCCTCCTTCATAAGATCCAGGTCGATCAACACCGTAGAGCCGTCGGCCCGTCGCATGAGGTTTTCGGGTTTGACGTCGTGGTGGGCAAGGTGGCGGCGGTGGAGGTACGCGAGGGCTTTGAGTAGGTCTTTTGTGATCGTCCTCGCCTCGCCCTCCCCCACGCAGCCACCAAGCTCCCACACACCCTGACCTGCACACACACATGGACACATACATGGACACATACATGGACACACACAGAGAGAGAGAGATGGATAAACGAGTTGGTCAACAAGTCTTCTTGCCTTCCTCTTCAGTTACCCTCTATATATTCCACCAATATACACGTCCGACCGGCGCTCGCCACATCAAAACTCTCGAGGAGCCGCACGATGTTGGGGCAGCTGGCCAGGCCCTTCTCCGCGTAAAGGCGGTAGGTCGGCTGGAAGTGTCGCTGTTCAACACAGAGACACACAGATAGTGTCGTGTGTGTGCTGTGGTCTGCATGTTGCTTACCCCGCCTCTCGAGTAGTTCTCCTCGAGGACCTTGACCGCTTTTCCGCCCGACAATTTCCATATCTCGGCCTGGCCGCCCCTCGTCAGCTTCCCCTCCACCTCCAACCCATGAATATCATGTAACACCCCCTGCACACGTCAGCCAGCGGACAGCACACAATGAGGTATACATCTCAGTGAGCCACGGTGAGTCTGCTGACCTGGATGTCCCTCTCTGCCCTGGTCTCCCTCCAGTCCTGCAGCCACGCACACAACCGGAGACCCGGAGACGGCAGGTGAGACAGCGAGGTGGCTTGTGACAGCACTCACTGATGGCTGGCTCACCTCCTCGACTGTGCCGCTCTCCCGCATGATTTCCACCCTCTCCCTCGCCGCCGCCTCGCCCACTCTGGCTTTGGTGCCCTCGTAGGCGGCCGCCTCTTGAAGCCGCCTGTACTCGGCGGGCGGGTGGAGGGGCAGGGGCGGGTACTTGAGGCGGTGCAGGGGCACAGGTGAGTGCACACGTGTGTGCTGTGTCCTGGCGCTCATTAGCGAAAAAAGAAAAATATCGCGCCCAACGGTCTCATGCATTCAGTGAGACTGGGGGCATCTCGCAGAGAGAGACCATCGTAAGAACCATGATGAGCGCCACGATGACACAGCACACACGTGTGCACCCACCTGTGCCCCTGCACCGCCTCAAGTACCCGCCCCTGCCCCTCCACCTGCCAGCCGAGTACAGGCGGCAACAGGAGGCCGCCACCTACCAGGAGGACCTCGCGGCACTGGGCGAGGAGGCGGCGAGGGAGAGCGTGGAGATCCTTCGGGCGAGCGGCGTGATCGATAGGGTGAGCCAGCCATCAGTGAGTGCTGTCGCCAGCCACCTTGTCTCACCTGCCGTCTCCGGTTGTCTGCGTGGCTGCAGGACTGGAAGGGGATGAGGGTGCAGAGGGACATCCAGGTCGGCAGACTCACCGCAGCTCACTGAGATGTATATCTCATTGTGTGCTGTCCGCTGGCTGACGTGTGCAGGGTCTGATGCTCGTAAGGCCAATCTGTTGTATGGTCATCTGCTGCGTGTGATTGATTTTACAATGCACGAATGCCAGGAGTCTCTTGTGTTTGGTCTGTCTCGGTGTGTCGATGAGTTGACTCGATTTGGTTTTTCACGACCATTCATCCATCGCCAACTGACTCGTGTTGCCCGTTACTTCCCCTCACTGCTGCGTGCCCTGCGTGAGTGAAGCACACTATGATCTGCCTGCCCGTTGTTGTTGTATCACCGCATCCCGCGAGACGAACACCGCTGCGGTTTTTGCTGCCCCGAACTCTTTACATGCGAATGGCCAGTAGGCGTGCGCGCTTCATGTAAGTGGCAGTGACTTGATACATCAATCGACGTGTGAGCGGTTAGAAGCACGTCCACACACAGATCTACGTCTGTAAGGAGGAGATCCAGCCATTGGTGTTCCTTCTGAAACGTCCCTCGCTCCGTCTCCGTCTTCTCACAGCTAATCTCCTGCCCCCTTGCTGAATCCCCTCCGTGACCCACGCGCGCACTAGCGCACCTTGCGCGTATCCGATGTCGTCCCACCGTAACACTGATTCCTTGGCAGATCTCAGGAGATCTACCAATCTCGGCAGCACGGCTACTCGCTTTGGATTCCCGCCCTTCGGCAGCACCAACCGCGACCCACCCACCCCTCCCACCGTCCCGGGATGCGGGACGTGTCAGCATATCCGATTCATCAACAACCCGCTCAACCCCTTCCGCGTCGGATACAAGAAGGACGGCCGTTTCATAGGATGCGTCGCCATGACACCCGGCATCGAGAGTGCTATCACCAGCGGCACCAAGCAATTCAAGCTCGTCGACAACGACTACGTCCCGCTCGTTGACGAACTCACCAAGCCAGGCATGCTCATCGGCCTCCAACACCATGAGGCCGGCGTTCGCGGTCTCAGCAGCGACATACTCCTCCTCAGCGCCATCATGGTCAAGAAACTCTGCAACAAGCACGGCTACGACACCCCCCTCTCCCGTGGCGCCGGCGACGCTGCTGCCGCCGATCGGTACATCCACAACCCGATGAATCGAGCGGATGTCCGCAATCCACTCGCCAACGACCTGACAGCCGCCACCCACTGCCTCGCGAAGATCAGCGACTTCATATGCGACCACGACGGCAACACGCCGATTGAGCTCATGAACGCCCTCCCTCGCCTTCTTCAGGATTTCGCCACTCAGCCCGGCCCTTCTTCGAGTCGCCGCCGCAAGACATCATCCAACGCAGCTGCCGCGGCCGCCTCTCCGGCAGACGACGAAGACTCAATCCATGCTGAGCAAGACGACTTCTTCAACGCCAACGACATGGAGCAAGACAACAAGGACGACGACTTCGACATGTACGACGATGACGCTGCCATTGCCCGTCGAGACGTCATTCCCATGGTCCGATTCAAGACACTCATCGGCCTCCAAACTCACCTCTCGGACATCCCCGACGACATCCAGCAGTTCATGGGCGCTGTCGTCACACCCACGGCCGCCATCGTCCAACTTGGTGGCCTGCTCAACAGCGACGACTGCGTGATCGACGCCCCCAACGTCATCGACGACTTCACCCTGCAGCAAGCCGCATTCTTCGCCAACCACATCGCCTCCATGCTTCCCCCGGCCAAGGCATCCCGCGCCAAGACCGCTCAGGAGCTCCTCAGTTGGGGCAAGCGCATCGACGCCAACGTCCACCTGTCGGTCAAGCAAGTCATCAACTATGTCGCCATCAAATACGCCATCAGCCTACGCGCCAAAGGTCCCAGCAATGCGTCACAGGGATCGTCACAGGGATCGTCAGTCAACACCCGCGGTCGTGCATCCACAAAAAAGACTGACTGATGTAAGGCGCCACTGGAGCTTCGCCCCCAGTGGCAACACCGAAATCGACCGGTGCTTCCTGCCAATCCGTTTTCCTCGTCTGTTATGTCTGTCCCTTATAGATCAGACTCTGTACGGTCAGTGGTTGGATCTCCAGACGCGTCATCGCCCTCCTTTTCCAGCTGCGCGTGCTGTACTACTGGGCAACACTCACTCACTCACGTACCCGAACAAGGCGCTGCAATTCATCCATCTGAGCATGCTATCTCGTTGCTTTTGACTGCGTGTAAGAATGAATCTGTGAAGCTCTCGAGTACTCGTCAGGTGTTTCGTTTTCTTCGCTTTTTGTCACGGGTGCGCCATCTACTCCACCACCTTCGTACACACACCCGCTGTTCCCACTGTAGATGCACGTGGCGTATGTGCCGTTGTGAGTGGCTTTTCATTTTGCAACCCACACACCGTGAGCCGTTTCGCGCCGTCCGTCTGGATGGTCTACGTGATTTTGCCTCACCATGTGTCCAACATCGCCTGACACCCTCGTCAATTAAGACTCTCTGTACGCGTCTCTTTTCTATCCAGTCTCGCGCGATGTGTGCCCTTGTGTCACGTACCCCTACCCCTTTCCTGCGTAAGATCCATGCATTGAGAGAGCGACTGGGTGCTCTTTTTGCGCCTGGTGTACACGACATGAAGCATGGCCTCTATCTGCTGTGTTCCCCTTGGTCCACTCAGTCTTATCTCGGTTTCACGACACGTGGTTATGTTGTGCGTTGGGATGAGCATGTCAGTCACGCTTTTCGTCATGGCACTCGCTCCCACTCCCCACAGCAGCACTTATACGGCTCTCTGTCGCGAAATGATGTATGTGCGTATGCATGCGTCCCTCTGTGTTCATTTGACGCGTTGGGTCTCACTATACATCAAATGAAGTCGATTGAAGTACAGGCCATTGACGCTTTTCAACCCTCACTCAACACACATTCGTCCTCTCGTCATGATTTGCATGCACTGCATCGCC